CTCTGCCTCCCGAGTGCTGGGATTAAAGGCGTGCGCCACCACCGCCCGGCTGGTTTTTAGTTTTTTGACAGTGTTTCTTTGTATATTCCTGACTGTCCTGGAAGTTGCTCTGTAGACCAGGCTGGCCTCAAACTCACATAGCTTCAACTGCCTCAGCCTCCTGAGTGTTGGGATTAAATGTGTGTGCCACTATCACCTGGCTTAATGGAGTAATATTTAATGAGGAACGGGAGTATCATAGATAAATTTCATAAAAATATGAAAAATGCACAAAATTTAGAGAGTATATATAGTTTGATCCTGTTTACAAAATGCTAAAAATTGACAAAACTGAACTCTGCTGTTGTAAAGACAAGGGATGGTAATTGAGAATTAGGAGTAGTTACCCCTGGAGACAGAGGAAGGAATCATAGAGACGCATGGAGGGCCTTGTGGATGTAGTGTGCTGTACTTTCTGATTTGCTTTCTCATGTCATTGGCTGTATTATGTTAAGTCTTGGAAGTTGCAAATCAGGTTTCGATTTTGGTTCTAGCTTGTTCTGTCATGCTTTCAGTGGTTTTGTTTTCTATCTTCTCTGTCTCATTATTTTGCTATAGGGTTAGATTAAATAGGAAAACTGTAGATGCTATATATAGGTATGGGGAGCTCTTGACAGATTAACACTGGGCAGCTGATAGCATTAATCCACACTACTAGAGAAATATAATTAGTCTGACAAGATTTATTGAGCATCTGCTGTGTGGTTAACAGTATGTTCAGTATTGTGGACCAGAGAATAATGCAGGGCCCAACAAAGAGCTTGAAGTAAGGGTCAGTAGCAGAAATGCTAGTTGAAAGCAGCATTAGAGATGGGTTCATAGTTCACCATTACAGTACTTGCTTGCCTAGCAGATGCAGGTCACTGGGTTCAAGTCCCAGCACAACACACACATAAAAGAGCTACCAGTTGAAGGAAAAGTGACTGGCTGGCTAAACTAAGAGCAGATGGAGCTGGTCAGACCTAAAGTACTAGTTATTTAATAGAGATAAAATAAGGTGGGGAGGGGTGGGGGACAAGGTCAGTGGGTAAGTGCCTGACAATCTCAGTTTGACCCCATAAGCAGTTCTGGGTGCATGGTGCACATCTGTAATCCCAGCGCTCTTACAGTGAGATGGGAGGTGGAGCCCGGAGAAGGGGCAGGAGCTTGAGGGCCAGCCAGCCAGGAGTATGCTGTGCAGCAGGAACTAGAAAGACTGCTTCCACATGGCAGAAGTTGAGAATTGACATCTGAAAGTTGTCTTCCAGACTCCACACACTTACTGCTCACTCACCCTGGCACAAACATGGTTGTGCATGTACTCACAGGGGAAAAAAAAATTGAGCATGCACACACTCAATGAGATAGTGTGTTACTATGTAGCTCTGGCTGTCCTGGAACTCACTTGTAGAACAGGCTGGCTTTGAACTCACAGAGATCCACCTGCCTCTGCCCTCCCAGTTTTGTCACTACATCTGACAAAAAAGAGAAAAATAATAACTTAATAAAATTATTTTTGAAGAGAGTGTAAATCAGAAATGCAGTGTTTTGATAGATTTGATTCTTCCCAAGTCCCAGCTGGAGTTTCTGTGTTGCATAGATCTGCCCTGAGATCTTCCTGGGACATCAGAGCAGCTGCCTCCCCTTGGTATCCAGTGATACTGGCATGACTAGTAGTCATACTTGCTGTGTTGCCATTGTGTGAGTGTCTGACGTGGTGAGTGTCTCAAGCGTTGCTAGTGGACCCAGAAGGCTACTTGGCGCGCCGTTTCTCTAGTCTTTCCTCGGAACAGCAAGCCGCCTCCTCCCTTGGTTGCCTAATGCCAGTCTCAGCCGACTGCTTCCTGCTCTCTCCATTCTTCTCACACCATCCCAGGACGACGTCATAGGTGCTTTAGTTGAACAATCAAGTTATGTTGATTGGTCTCAACGTTCCTTGAGTAGGCACTTGCTGGAAGTCTGCTCATGTGTGTCTAACCTTTCAACTTCTTCAGGTGTAGGTTACAAAACTGAGGCAGTTTGTCCACATAGGACTGAGGCTAAGGAGGTGATAACTTCTCAATCAGCCTAAATAGTGTTTGACCCCAGGGTGCTTGGTATTTGTGAGTGAACCTAGTGGAAAGTAATCTTTGCCACAAATCTTATTTGTGTAGACTATCAACAATGTCATTTGCTGGGGATTGGAGAGATGGTTCAGAGATTAAGAGCACTGGCTGCGCTTCCAGAAGTCCTGAGTTCAATTCCCAGCCCCTACATGGTGGCTCACAACCACCTGTAATGAGATCTGGTGCCCTCTTCTGGCCTGCATTCATACATGCAGGCAGAACACTGTATAAATAACAAATAAACCTTTAAAAAAAAAAAAAAAAAGCATGTCATTTGGCCAAAACTACGCATGTCTAAAGCTATCAGAGAGCTCAGGGTGAACATGTATGCCAGAACACAATGGAGCTTCTGCCGGCTTCAACAGACTTGTCACCCTGTAGTCACCTGCTTTCATTCTCTTTACAGGCTCCCGGCAGCGGCGTCGGCGTCTCAGCAGTTTGGGTCCCCATTGGCCCCTGTGGTCAGCCAGCCAGCTGTGCTTCAGCCCTATGGCCCTCCCCCGACAAGTGCACAGGTGACCGCACAGCTCGCCGGAATGCAGATCAGTGGTGCTGCGTCCCAAGCCCCTCCCTCTTCTGGGTTGGGCTATGGTAAGTAGTGATGGGACCAGGATGCTATCATCCACTTTTTGGAAGTTTTGGTTCTGGGCATATTTTTGATTTCCTGTGCCTTTGAGTTCCAAATGCAGCGACAGTCGTATCATATTTGTGCCTTTTTGGTGGGAGGAGAAATAATTTACCAAACGAGGCAGAATGACTGAGCCTCCGCCTCTGCCTCTTCTGTTCCCAGGTCCACCAACATCATTGGCCTCAGCCTCAGGAAGTTTCCCTAATTCTGGTCCCTATGGCTCCTATCCTCAGAGCCAGGCTCCTTCCCTTAGCCAGGCTCAAGGTCATCCTGGAGTCCAGCCTCCTCTGCGATCTGCCCCACCACTGGCTTCCAGCTTCACATCCCCAGCTTCAGGTGGTCCTCGGATGCCTTCCATGACTGGCCCACTCCCGCCTGGACAGGGCTTTGGGAGTCTCCCAGTGAACCAGCCCAACCACGTGTCCTCGCCTCCTGCTCATGCTCTGCCCCCAGGCACCCAGATGACTGGGCCCCCAGTACCACCACCGCCTATGCACTCCCCTCAGCAGCCGGGCTATCAGCTGCAGCAAAATGGTGAGTCTCCCCACAGCATCTGGCTAGAAGCCAAGGCTTCAGCTCTTCTGGGCTTTCTGTTTGTCTGTTTGTCTGCCCTGGTACTGCTTGCTAAGTACTAAATTCGATGGACAGCTTCAGGGTACCATTACTAGGATGTGAGGTTTGTAAGACAGTCTTCTTGTCTCTTAGCTCATGGAAATAGTGCGGCCTTTCTTTGAGTGGCTTCCTCAGGCACTAGTATACCCCATAATCTGTTTCAAAGAGTCCAGTTACTTTCTTGAGTCCTTAAGCAGAGAGAGGGAAGGGATTTTGAGTTCATCAACCTTGTGCCCTTGTCTCTCAGGTTCCTTTGGACCAGCCCGAGGCCCTCAGCCTAATTATGAGAGCCCATACCCTGGAGCGTCTACCTTTGGCAGTCAGCCTGGGCCTCCTCAGCCACTGCCTCCTAAGCGCCTGGACCCTGATGCCATCCCCAGCCCTGTAAGTAGGTGCTTATGTGGTCTTGGGGAAACACATGTCTGCCAGATGTGCAGGCTGACCTAGATGAGATGTTTGCCTCACATTTTCTGATAGCATTCCCTTTTCAACTATCATCTTGAAGACTTAGAACTCAGATATGATGTCTAAACTTTTGAAATGGAATTTGAAGTCCCCAAGTCTTCTAGTGCAGGTTTAATGCACAGCTCTACATAGGAGAAAGGGGAACCAAGAGTGATCAGTCATGTTGGTAGAGCTCTGGGCTGAGGCCTATGTTCTGTTGCTCTTGCTCATAATAATAACATGGTCATCTTTGCTGTTCTGTGGAGTAATGGCCAGGTCTCACTCCCTTAGATCTAGTAGGGCATCATTCTTCTTGATCACTAGAGCAGGTAGGAGCTCTCTGATGTTAGGTGGTCAGAGCAGGAAAGCCGCACTCGTTCCTTTCTGCTCCTATATGGGTAGTGTTGTAGGATGATGCCCATAATACTGTTGATTGCCAGGTCCCTGCTGTGTGGATGGGGAGCAGTCATAGTGTATGAAGGCAGTGTGCATGTACACTCCATTGAGGAAGCTGCTTCTCCCCCAGAGGCACTGGACTCCGCAGCCCTTCCTTATCAGACCTGGCTAGAGTAGGTCTTCACATGGGCCCACTTGATATCCTGTCTGTGACATTGATGTCAGCTCCCTCTTCATGCTTAGCCATTGTCATATTCCATTCCGTTCTCCTCCCTCTTCCTTTGGGGAACTATCACAGTTAGGAAGCCTGTTAGTTAAGTGACAGCCCCCTACTTCTCTTTTCCATGGTGGGAAGGAGAGTTTAGCTGGACAGCCAAGGCATCTTCCAGCATGAGAGTTCTTTGACCTGCTGGGGAACTTCCTGTTCCTCAAGGTTTTTCCCATTAGGGCCTCCTTAAAGAGTCCTGCTTGCCTCCTGCTTGCTCCACCTGAGCTTATCTTGCTCCATGGTAGTCTGAGTCACTGAGGCCTCCTTGTTAGGCCTCTGTGTTGGGCTAGAGAGACTTGGAATTCCAGATCTACTGGGTCCCTGACTTCAGCAGTCTGAGCTGGGCTCCAGCTCTTCATGTCTGATTCAGCAGGGTTAGATAGAGAAGTAACATCTGCCTCTTGTTCTTTTGTCTCCCTCCCTGTCTACCCCTGCTGCCTTTATTATTAAAACACTAAAAGCAACTTAATGAGCTGCCTCCTCAGCAGAAAACCAGGCACAGAATAGACCCTGATGCCATTCCTAGTCCAGTAAGTGCAGGGGTGGGGGTATGTGCTTGTCACCCGTGTTAGTGCCACTCCTGCATGCCTGTGACGTCACCTCATCTCCCATGGCCATCCTTCTCCATTCTCCTCCTTGAGCCCTTCTGGATCCTTGCTTTTAAAGCTGAAGGATATGCATGCCTCCAAGTCACCATGTATGGAGAAAGCAAGCTGTTAGCAGTGCCTTGAGTATGGGATGGTGGATGGTCAGGCTCTGAGGGTGGGTCTGGTGGCATGTTAAGCTTTGGTTTTGGTCCTGCTGGCTCCTCCAGGAGCTTGTGTGTGGCATGTGGTGGAACCAGACAGTCAAGCAGCAGATCCTTCCCATTTGAGGTGAGGAGAAATGTTCTGGTGGGTGGCTATGAACGTCCAGGTTCATGGCACTTCTTATAAGGAAAGAGCTTGCTTGTTTTGGGAGAGTGTGGGCCACCTTCTCATCTGGAGAGTCTTAGACTCTGGTGTATCTCCAAGCTTCAGTTCTCTCTGCTGCGGGATACAGTCTTATTTGCCCTTGACTTTTCCTGGTTTTCTCAAACCCCTCTTGAAGTAACTGACCAAAGGTCACCAGCCTGAACAAGGGTCTGATTACCAGCTTTGCATATCCTTTTTGTGTTTGTTCGCCTCAATGTCTTGTTCCAAGTAGAGGTTTGAGGGCTGGGCCATAAGGCTTGGGCATTTGTCCTCTCCTCTATGGCCCCACCAACGCTCACCCAAAAGGAAGGCAGCATTTGCTTCCTTCCCTGATCATTTCTGGCTGTTTAATTCTCTCCTCCTCCCGTTCCTTGTTAATTTCATTGAGCTTAGAGCCATTCCAGGTAGATTCATTTCTACATGGGTTTCTGTCTTCTGTTCTCCTTGCTCTGGCTCAGTGTGTCTCCTGGAGCGGAGGGAGGGGAAAGTTTGGGAATGGAGAATGGAATCCAATCATGTCTTATGGTTGGGGTCAGAGTTGACGCTTTCCTGGAGTGGGAGCAATAAAAGTGCACTCACAGTGCCTGCAGGCCGGGGGGTTATCACAAAGCCATTCTCACCAAGGCCCCCACCATCTGCTCACTGCTGCCGAGAGGAAGCTCAGCCTCGTAGCGTTGGATGCGGACTCCAAAGGAAAGCATGCCTGGTGCATGAGGTGTTTGGCAAATTCTTTGTTCTTGTGCTACAGTCTGGCCTGCCTTTGTCCTCATTCTTCTTTTTCTTTGATCATGTCGCTCACTTCACCTTTCTCCGACAGATTCAGGTCATTGAAGATGATAGGAACAACCGGGGTTCAGAGCCATTTGTGACTGGTGTACGGGGACAGGTGCCACCCTTAGTCACCACCAACTTCCTGGTGAAAGACCAAGGTGAGACGAACTTTAACATCTGTTTCCCTACGGCAGCTCATTCTCTAAGGCTATCAGCCATGGATCACGCTTTTATTAGTCTTTATCCAGACACCAGTCTCCCCGCCCCATCCCACTTCCTCCCTCAGGCCTTCAGAGGGTAAAAGCTACTGCCAACTCTTAACATTTGTGGAGGTGGGGTGACTCTCCAGTAGAGAGCTGGTTTCCAGAAGGCTTCTGGGATATGACTAAAATCTTGTACTTTCTTCAGGGAATGCAAGTCCCCGGTACATTCGATGCACGTCTTATAATATCCCTTGCACATCTGACATGGCTAAGCAGGCTCAGGTGCCTCTGGCGGCTGTCATCAAGCCACTGGCTAGGCTGCCCCCAGAGGAGGTAAGTCTCGGAAGGGGCTGGAATACAGTGAAAGAAGTGCAGGGGAACGGTGCTTCTTTCTAGATGGGATTCTGACTGGCATGGAAGGCATCGTGGTTGGGCAGGAGGGCACAGTATCTTTGGTACTCTCAGGGTCCAAACTTGGTAGCAGTGGGAAGGATGAAAGCAAAAACCAAATCCATTACTTTGTGAGACAAGGGTTCATAGGAGGAACAAATGAGAAGAACCAGAGCCAGCTGGGTGTGGAGGCTCAGACCTGTAATTGCAGCACTCAGGAAACTGAAACAGGAGGCCATGGAGTTCCAGCCTGGCCTGGCTACACAGTAGACTGCATCTCAAAACAAACAAGGAGCAGGCGTGGTATTCAGAAGGATTAAAGCTAGTCGGGGCCAAATAGTGAGACTCTGTCTTAAAATGAAACAAAATACGTAGGCCCAACCTAACTTCTACAGGCAAGACAGCTGGATGTAGGAACCCATTGTGTGGTCAAATCTCTGGATGATGACAGTGCATTGACTTGAGATGGGTAGGGCTCTTAAGGAGGCATATAAAAGAGAAGGAACTATTGTATCCACCATTCCATTTCTCACCTGGCTTGGGCCTCCATCTGCCAATTCAGTACCTGAAAGCAGTGGGGCTTTTTTTTTTTTTTTTTTAGGGGGTACTGATTTCTTCAAGACAAGGCTTCTCTGTACACCTGCTCCTGGAACTCACCCTGTTGACAGGCTGGCCTCAAACTCAGAAACCTGCCTGCCTCTGCCTCCTGAGCACTAGAATTAAGAGCAGGCAGCCACCATGCCTGGCGAAAGCAATTTTAAAAATTAACTGTTTATTTAGGTCTTAAGAAGTAACATGTGGCGCATGCCTTCAATCCCAGCACTCAGAAGGCAGAGGCAGGGGATCTCTATGAGTTCTAGGAGTAGCCTGGTCTACAGAGCAAGTTCCAGGATAGCCAGGGCTACACAGAGAAACCCTGTCGTGAAAAAACAAACCAAAGAAGTATCACTTAGGTACTTGAAAGTTTTCTAGAACTGAGACCTCAAGGCTCAGGGTATATCTGCTTTCTCACTTCCATTCTGGATGCCTGTGAGGATGGTTAGATGCTTTTTGTATTTGGAAGATGACATCTGCCTGGGACAGCAGTAGGTGTCCCAGAATTCTCTTGCGAGTGATGGGGGAGAAGCATCATAGATATGCAGGGAAAGAAGCAGAAGTCATCTCTAGGACAGGAGTAGAAATCCTGTATAACTTTTGCCTTTCTCCTCATACACCCACGGCAGTCCCTGGCTTGCTATGGCCAGTTTCATTGGCCCTCTTCATTTTTAGGAAGAAATGCATTCTGGGAGAGGAAGTGAAAAGAGAGAACTGGAATTTCTCCAGTGAGCAGTACCGTTATCATTGTCCTCGTTCTCTTTCACTGTATTCCCTCCCCGACAGAGTGTCTGAGCCATGCTGCCTGTCCCTCCAGTCTGTGTCCTGTGTTGCCATGTCTGCCCACTGTAGCTCCCTCCATCTGAGCCCCTGCCCTTTGTTCCTTAGGCTTCACCGTATGTTGTGGACCATGGTGAATCTGGTCCTCTGCGCTGTAATCGCTGCAAAGCATACATGTGCCCTCTCATGACATTCATCGAGGGAGGGAGGCGCTTCCAGTGCTCCTTTTGCAGCTGTATCAATGATGGTATGCTGTGGAGGCTGAGCTGGTGGGGAAGGCTTGCCTCTTCGCTATTCTCTCTAGTTAGATGGATGGGGAAGGAGGGCACACGTGAGGACATGGGGTACTGGAAAGATGGGAAGGAGATCAGCTAAGAATTGGCATACTATGATTGGGGGTGAACATTTGAGTAACACACTGCATCCTTCCTACAGTTCCCCCCCAGTATTTTCAACATCTGGATCATACCGGCAAACGTGTGGATGCTTATGACCGTCCTGAGCTGTCCCTGGGCTCCTATGAATTCTTGGCCACTGTAGATTACTGCAAGGTGAGGGAAGGTAGTGGGAGGGGAGCAGTGGGTGGAGGATCGTGAGACGCCCGAATAGCCGTTCCCATTTCCCTTACCCTGGCACGGTCCCCTTTGATGCCCATTGCATTGCCCTCTAGTCTCCTGATGCTTACTGTTCTCCTGTGCCTCCACCATTTCCCTCCTCTACAGAACAATAAGTTCCCCAGTCCGCCTGCCTTCATCTTTATGATTGATGTCTCCTACAACGCCATCAGGACTGGTCTTGTTCGGCTCCTCTGTGAGGAGCTCAAGTCACTCTTAGACTACCTGCCGAGGTGAGAGCTGAGGAAGTCCTGCTTTCCTCTGGTTAATGGTGGGTGTCTGGCTTGACCGAGCAAGTGGAACAGGTCATGAAATTGTGGGTGAAGAAGGTGGCCAGTCTGGGTAACAGTGTCACCTTCCACAGGGAGGGTGGAGCCGAAGAGTCAGCAATCCGAGTTGGCTTTGTCACCTACAATAAAGTGCTCCACTTCTACAATGTGAAGAGCTCCTTGGCTCAGCCACAGATGATGGTTGTATCTGATGTGGCTGACATGTTTGTGCCACTGCTGGATGGCTTCCTGGTCAACGTCAATGAGTCCCGGGCAGTTATCACCAGGTAAGAGCCGGGGTGGAGATGAGAGAGAGAGAGTGGGAGGGTACACTCATAGAAGGCCAGGGAGTGGAGCAGAGGGTTAGTAGACGGACAAGGACGTGCTCCGGGAGTTTTCAGTCTGGGAGCCAGATAACTATTTATTCCAGGAATTGAGAATGGAGGTAGCTCAAAGCTGGGTGGCAGTTTGGGTTGTCTACCATCATCTGTCTTTTCAGCTTACTGGATCAGATCCCAGAAATGTTTGCGGATACAAGAGAGACAGAGACAGTATTTGCCCCGGTTATCCAGGCTGGGATGGAAGCTCTGAAGGTAAGGCAGGAGTCCTAGCAGCTCCTCTTGCTTTCCTCTGGCCATGCTGTGTACTGGGAAACAGCCTTAGTGATTGATAGCTGTCCAGCAAGTCAGCCCGTTCCACAGTTAGTGCCTAATAAACGACAAAGAGAACCATGAGGGAGTATGGATGAACAGAGAGAGGAACAGACGAGGCGTTTTCTGTTTTTCCCTAGGCTGCCGAGTGTGCGGGAAAGCTGTTTGTGTTCCACACGTCCTTGCCCATTGCAGAGGCCCCAGGGAAGCTGAAGAATAGAGATGACAGGAAGTTGATCAACACAGACAAGGAGAAGGTGTGGGACTTGAGGGGGTGGGGCCTCCCGTTACAGAGGAAGGTGGTAACTTTCCAATGACACCTCTTCCACATTAGCCAGGTGAACTGGGATTACATCTGTGACTGCCAACCTGCTCACAAGATTCCTGGTGGACTTGACCTTTTCTTTCATTTTTGCTTTTTTGAGATTTGGTCTATCTATGTAGCCTAGGCTGGTCTGGAACTCACTGTGTAGCCCAGGCTGGCCTGATGCTTGTAGTGATCTTCTTGTCTGCTGCCTGTGTGCTGGCGTTATAGGCGTGCCTGAACACAGCTTGCACCTTTTCCTTTTGATTTTCTCCTACTGCTTGAATTACAAGGTGGTAGTGGGTCTGAAGTCGAGAAAGTGTGAGTTTCTCAATTTACACAGGACGTGTCTTCTGTTCCCCTCCAGACTTTGTTCCAGCCTCAGACAGGTACCTATCAGACTCTGGCCAAAGACTGTGTGGCCCAAGGCTGCTGTGTGGACCTCTTCCTCTTCCCTAACCAATATGTGGATGTGGCTACACTCTCTGTTGTTCCCCAGCTCACTGGAGGCTCTGTCTACAAATATGCCTGCTTTCAGGTATAGAGTTCTGGGTGTGGAAGTATCTGCTTATACGTGGAGTGGCTCTTTACCTACTGACTCATCAGTGGGGCGTGAAGTTGAACCCGGAGTATAGTGGTTAGGTGCGAGGCTCTTCAGTCAGTCCTGGGTTGAATTGAAGCCCCTCACTAACTGGCATAGGAAATCACTTCAGTACTCTTCTGTCCTTTCCTCTTCAAGGTAGAGTTTACTAATTGGGACTTGTCTACAGAATTAAACAGTTATATATGAAAAGACTGTGTGCTACTTGATATGTCATGAGTCCATAAAGCTTCCTTGTCACTGTCATCCTTGCTTTCACTGCTGCTGGGATGCAGCAGGCTTGTAGAGTGGGGGGATGCAGGGAGACCGGCTGCAGGGTGAGCTGTGTGGTCAGTGATGGGACTCTGGCCTGGGCTGCAGGTGGAGAATGACCAGGAACGGTTCTTGAGTGACCTGCGGCGGGATGTACAGAAGGTGGTTGGCTTTGATGCTGTGATGCGGGTTCGGACAAGCACTGGTGAGTTCTGGTTGAGGCTAAATCTGTTTGAGGCACATGTCTTACCTTTAGCCCTGACCTATCCCTGTGGCCTCAGGTATCCGTGCTGTAGATTTCTTTGGAGCTTTCTACATGAGCAACACAACCGATGTGGAGTTGGCTGGACTGGATGAGGACAAGACAGTGACTGTGGAGTTCAAGCATGATGACCGGCTCAATGAAGAGAGTGGAGCCCTCCTGCAGGTGGCAGGCGGGAGACGGGAGTGGGGGGTGTGAAGGTGCTGGAGGCGTTCACTGGGAAGATAAGGGGTGGGTGGAATTGTGAGGGAGGGGTGTGAGTTCCCCCTTTCTCCCTTCCCCTAGTGTGCCCTGCTTTATACCAGCTGTGCAGGGCAGCGTCGGCTCCGCATCCACAACCTGGCCCTAAACTGCTGCGCCCAGTTGGCTGATCTCTATCGGAACTGTGAGACTGACACGCTCATCAACTACATGGCCAAGTTTGGTGAGGGTAGAAGCAGGGCAGGGTGGGGCGGGTGAGAGAAAGGCCCAGGATGGCCACAGCTCAGCACTCCTGGGTCGGTGTGATGATGGGAGGACGCCTGCGAGAGGACACTGACCAGTGACGGCCGTCTCTCCCTCCCGTACAGCATATCGGGGTGTTCTGAATAGCCCTGTGAAGACTGTCCGAGACACGCTCATCACCCAGTGTGCTCAGATCCTGGCCTGTTACAGAAAGAACTGTGCCAGCCCTTCCTCTGCAGGACAGGTCAGGCAAGGATGCTAACAGAACAGAGGGGTTGTTTCAACCAAAGTCTGCATTTTAGAGGAATTTCCCATGGTCATTGACTTGATTTCCATCAATTCCGCAGCTGATCCTTCCCGAGTGTATGAAGCTCCTCCCGGTTTACCTGAACTGTGTATTGAAGAGTGATGTCCTGCAGCCGGGAGCTGAGGTCACTACCGATGACCGCGCCTACGTCCGACAGCTGGTGTCCTGCATGGATGTAGCTGAGACCAATGTCTTCTTCTACCCTCGGCTCCTACCACTGGTACGATGGAGGGCTGGAGTGCCAGACACTGTACTGAGGACAGGGCCTCTGAGAAGGAGGGGGTGGGAATACTTTATCGCCGACAGAAAGGAATTTGTTTTTATGTATGTACATTTTGCATCACTATCTAGAGACTTAACTTTCTGAGTTTATGTGTGTAAAGGAGTGTCTTGTAGTTCTTGGTGACTTTTTTCCTTTTTGTCTAGACAAAGTCTCCCATGGACAGTACCACTGAACCACCAGCAGTTCGAGCGTCTGAAGAGCGTTTAAGCAGTGGCGATATATATTTGCTGGAAAACGGGCTCAACCTCTTTGTCTGGGTGGGGGCAAGTGTCCAACAAGGTGTTGTCCAGAGCCTTTTCAACGTCTCCTCCTTCAGTCAGATCACCAGTGGCTTGGTGAGAACAGGGTGTCAAGGATGATCATGGGTATGGGAAACATTTAGTGATTTGACTGGGGGTCAGTGGAGTCAGCATGCTGGTCCCTTTACATATCAGAGAACACTTGGGGCAAGCTTTTTCAGACTTCCTCATTCCCGATGATACCTAACTCTGGATTGCTCCCTCTTGATGGACTTAAAAGTACTTTATCATAGTAATGAATGAATTTTTGTTCCAGAGTGTTCTGCCAGTTCTTGATAATCCACTGTCCAAGAAGGTTCGAGGCCTCATTGATAGCTTACGGGCACAGAGAATGCGGTACATGAAGGTAACACAGATCTTGTGTGTTTGGTGGTGGTGGTGGTGGTGGTGGTGGTGGTGGTGGTGGTGGTGGTGGT